CATCAGGCTGGTAGGAAGATTTCTTGCCTTTTGATTAAAGGAGAAACTGAACTTGTTTCTAAGTGACACCAAAGTTAGTCAATTACCAGGACATTCCCAAATATCCTTTAAGAGAAGAAACTTAGATGTGTCCTTCCATGCTACCCCAGGCCTTTTGAGTGCTTATTTAGACCTCGACACTATCTAGTCCTCTTAATTTAATGCTATTAGCATTTCTGAAACTAATCATCAAAGTATTCTAAATTAATTATGCTGTTTGTCTGCTAACATAAATGACTCATTTTCAGTGGAAGGCTGTCTTTAAAATACCTGCTCCAATACAAGAGTCTTTCCTGCTTCAGCAAGTATTGTGGGTGTGCACGTGAGTGTGTGTTTGTGTGTGTCTGTACAGGACGGTGTGCCTATCACGCTCTTTTCCCCATTTTTGGCTAAGATATTCCAATCAGGAACAATAACACACCAATACAATGACAAAACTAGACAAGATCAGGTGAGCTGCTTAACTACATGTGTCTAGTAAATTTAGAACAAACAGTTGATCTGGTAGATTTAGGAAGACATAAAACCAAGTTAAACATAAAACCAGGTGTTAAAATTCACTGGATAATTCAGTTAAGATAAAAAATATACATACAGAGAAGCACCTAACAAAAAGACACTGTCTAGTTAATTGTAGAATAAGAAAGAGTCTTTGTTTGTTGAAGGACTTGCTGCAGGGCCTAGCCCAGAAAGCCCAAGTGTTGGTGGGAAAGGCTTCCAGGAAAGCCAGGAAAGGAATGCTAACCAACCTAACCCACTGGAGCTTATCACTTCTCTAGAAGTTGTGGTATTTGGAATTGTTTGCGTAAGAAGTAATAAAAACCTGACAGGCTGGTACCTGTTAAGCTGCTGCCATATGTTGTCCGTGTAGCTTGCAGACTGGCTCTGTATTCCCTCACGTGAGGGCCAGAGCAGCTACACAGCCCTCGTGCTAGCAAAACAAAGTATGAAAAAAAAGTCAACTCTGATCTCAGTGCCACCTCCTTTTCTCTCAACTCCTGATCAAGGGTGATGCAACTTGCATTTGGAGGCGTCTGCTGGCTTTGGGAAGACGTCAGCTTGATGCTTGGAATTGCTTTGATTGTCTCTTCTCATATGGCTGTTTTTCTACACGAGATTTCTAAGTGGCTTCTTTGCTTTGTTTTCCTTTCCTATTTTTACCTAAACCTGTGTCCTCTGTTCTTCACTGGTCTGAGACTCAGCATCTGGTAATTCTGATGTGATTCAAGTGTAAACCCAGAGCGTCTGAGAGGAGGAATGAGAGTCTCTATTGCAAAATACTCCCCAGAAGCATTTCTGAGAAGGTTCCTTAAGATGAGCATTTGCCACAGATTCTGCTCTTCTCCATGCAAATACTTCAGGGCGTGTTGAATTCTTAGCTTGGTTTGGAGTATATTTCAGTTTATCCATTCATCTTATTAGGTTTTTAGTAGTAGATTTATTCTAAAATAATTTGCTAAATAAAATGGAAACAGCAACAATTTACTCAGAAAGATCAACATATTTCCAGCAAATCAATGCCACTCATTATGGATTTTGCCTTCTAGTTTGTAAACAGGGGGCTGGCAGAAAGTGTAAGGCAGGTTGACAGCACTGTGTAGGTGTTCACTGACAACCCTAGGGTATACCATTTATATCATTGTCTTTGAGTAATGACAAAGTGACTCACCTTGCTACTTGGGAAATTTAATGTCACAGGAGGAGTTTTCCAGAATTAGATTCATATATGGGGAAAAAAATCCTATGAAAATCGGAGAAGCTGGTCATCATTAAAATACAGTATTGGGAAGTTATTTTCTCACATTAGAGCTGAATGTTTCATATGCTCCTCAATTTTAACACATTTCACAACTCATTAAATGGTGCCTCTGTCCATGTGTTATCCTTGCCAGCAACCTGGGAATTGTCTTCGGCAGCTCTGTTTCTTTTGTCTTCATAGTCAACTGGTTACCAAATGTGGTTGCATCAACCTCCAAACTACATTTTGAATCTGTCAAGTCTTATCTCCATTGCTGCCATCTTCTGCTTAGATATAACCCCTAAGTGGCCCTCTTGCTTTCACACTTGCCTCCTTCAAATCAGTTCTGTCTAGAGCAGCCAACGTGATCTCTTGTGTGTGTGAATTTTTATTTTCATCAAAATTGTACGTGTGTATAGTTTAAAAAGTCATAATTCTACAATTCTTATAATAACTACCCAGAAATAGCAAAGAGCTGTCTCCTCCCATCCTCCATTTTCAGTCCCCAGCAGTAAATATGTCAACCCTTTTAGTCCTCTATATTTCTAAATTGCATGTTTTTACAGCTTTTACTTGATATTTCTGTTTTAGATATTATCTTCTGACTTCCTATATACTACAGATGATGAAAATTTAAGCTCTTTTAAACACCTTCCCCTCTTCTCAATCCCACCCATCTTCCTAATAGAATTATAGCATAATTTCCAGTTAGATCAAAATCTGGTGTTTGCATTGCTCTGAATAGGATTTTTAGTCGCAGCTGAGTCATGTGGTATATTATCATTGTACTTTCTTTCCTGTTCGACTTGTTTCCCCTGTCAATAATTGTCTGTTTTCTGTTTGCTTAGTTATCTATATCCATATCACTAATCCATCCCCAATTCTGCATGAAAGATGGAGACCTCTAGTACTAATACATGTTCCAACACAGTCTGGTGACACTCAGGCCTGTTACACAGCTGTCAGGGGTTTTATTGTGCCATCATCCTCAGGATTTCTATTGCTTCTCTTTTGTATTGGATCCCGGTTTCTTAGATCCACTGACTAAAGTGGAACGTTCTATCCTCATACTTGATTGACGGAATTAATTCTAGGTCAGAAATCATTTTTGCTCAAAATTTTGAAGTAATTACTCCATTGTTTTCTAGCTTCTAGTGTTAGTATTGAGTAATCCAATGGGATTCTGGTTCTGGATCCTTTGTATGCGACACTCCTTTTTTCTTTCACGAGCCCCTTTTAGGGCCACTGTGCCTTGGTGTGGGTTTCTTCTTGCTTCCTGCCTTGGTTTTCTTCCCTGTGTGTTCTTCTTTTTGCTATTTCTTTATTTTCATTTCTGACTCTCCTATTGGAGACTTTCCTCAACTCTCTAGTGATCTCTGGCTTTCCATTCATATTTAAACAAGCTGCTGGAAGCTTTGTGGGGAGGATTTGTCAACTAGGGGACTTTATTCTGGAGCATGGCTTGGCAAACTGAGGCCCACAGGTCAAATCTGACCCACTGCTTATTCTTGTATGGTGCTAAGGATGGTTTTTATAGTGTTAAATGTTGAAGAAAATCACAAGAATAATAACATCTTGTGACACATGAAAATTCTTATTTTTACTCCAATTAGCTTAACGTAGAGAACAGAGTGAATCCTAGTAGCTGGAATTCCTGTATGAAGAAAATGATCTCGCATTCCCCTCCAGGGGCTTGTAGTCTTAAGAGCATTTCTGACCTTTTCCTAGTCCTGATCCCAACTGGTAGATCCAACTAGCACCAGTAGAACCCAGACAATTCAGGCACTGTCCCCTCAAGCCTGTTTCTACTGAATCATTTGAAAAGACAAGGCTAATAGGGCTGCTCTGGGAAGAACAATAATACAGCCAGAGTGTAATTGTGCCCTACCAAGATTGGCAAGTCTCAGATTGGTCTTGTGGGATGTTCTGCACCAGAAGAGCAGGAAGGAGGCAGTAACACAGCAGAGACTCGTGGGAACATATGCATGCAGCATCTGAGGTTACATGTATTTTCAAGGTGAATGGAACCTTTCAAAAATGTTGATCAGTTCACATCACTCTACTACTCAAACATTCCCATGGTTTCACATCACATTTAGCACCAACTCCAAGCTCCTGACCAAGGCCTAGAAGGCCCTGCATGCTCTGGCCTCTTGTCTCTCTCTGGCCTCCTCTCCTGGTGGTTCACCCTTTGCTCACTCTGCTCTGCCTACAGTGGCCTCTGTGACCATGCTGAACTCTTTTCCTTCTCAGAGTCTTTGCATTTGCTCTTGCCTCTGCCTGGTACATTGTTTCCGCAGATCTTCAGATGATTTAATCTATTACTTCATTCAGCTGCCTGCTCAAACATTACCTCCTCAGGGAGAGCTTTCCCAACCACCCTCTCTAAGATGATCCCCACCCATCATGCATCACTCTGAATCCTCCTTCAGTGAGTTTTGTCTGTTTCATCTCAGACACATACTCCACCTTCATCTACTTTCCTTGTACTGTGGAGATTGATTCTTGAAAATGACATCTCCCAAGCCTCCTTTTGCCAGTTGGCTTCCAGTTAAGTTTGGTCAATGAGAGACATTAGTCTTTTGAAGGAGGGGTGAAGGGAGGACGTGGGAGAGAATCCAGAGGATTTCTCCCCTTTTCTCTTTTTTGGGTGTTATCCTCAGAAACGACTGCGTCTCTTCTATGGTACCAGCATTTGCAAAATGGCCTTGGCCCCTGGGCTTCAGTACCACTTCTTCTTATATTCTCCAGCTTGAGGGGCAATTGCAAATCTCTGGGTTGCCTCTTCATCACCTGTTTGCTCTGTAAGCATTTCTAACATCGTCATAATTCCTTATACTATTAAATTGTGAGCTACTGTTTACTGGACTACTGTTTTCCTGCCTGGATCCTGACTGATATATCCTGCTTTATGTTTTCCATAACACTTATCACTACCTGTTGATATATTATTATTGGTTTCCTTGCTTATTTTCTGTCTCCCTCATTAGAATGTAACTTTCATGAGGCCCACATGCTTGAGCATTTGAACCTGCTGAGAAATAGAGGGCCATGTGTTTCCACTTTCTGATCACTTACCAGAGAGCTGGAAAGAAGGCCAACTATGTGTTTCTCCTGGAGAGCAGTAGGGGAGGAAGCAGGTATATTGGGAAAGATGGAGCCTGGGTCAAGTGTTACATGGAAAGCTCTAACTGAACTGAAAAGTTCTTTATTATATTTCCAGGTTCAGGGAGAGATGTCCAAGTTCTGGCTCCAGAAGCCCATTGAGAGTAATGGGAACTGGCCCTACAGAAAGGAGGGACTGTGGGAAATTTCTGAGAACATTAGGGGAAGGAACCTGTGGACTGGCAGGGAGAGAAGGAGGCAAGACTTTCTACTAAGCTGAGCAGGTAAGAACTCAAGTATTAAAACATTGGATAACTAACATTGGATGTGTGACATGCTGTTCTGTGGGCTGTCCTAAGCATTTGGTATTATTGACACTAATATGAATATATGTGAATAGCAATGTAAAAAACTGTATAAATCACATATTTGAAAATATCAAAACTAACCGTGTGCTTTATATGTTTTAAAAAAGTTGGACAATTTTATTTGTTCTTGAAATACGATTTACTTTTAAGAGAACAAATCAGTGATGTAAATAAATAAACTGGGAAATATCAATTCCAGACATACACCAGTGTGTAGGCTGAGTAAGCAGAACTGCTTTGCTAAACATGAAAGTGACAGATGGGGAAGCAGGGATGGGAACCTTGTCTCCTCACAGAGGGCTGTGTACGTGTAATATGTGGGTCTCTTCCACTTCATACCATTTTTAGTAGCCACTTTCATTTCCAAGGGTTATTTAGGAGTATGGGTCTTAATTTGCAAGTAGGTAGAATTGTTTGGGTATTTTTATTATTTATTCTAGTTTTATTGGATTATGATTACAGAATATGGCTGTAAAATCTCTGTTCTAAAATTTTTGCTGAGGACATCTTTTTGTGGCCATTACATAACTGATTTTGTACATATGTCCTGGGCATGTAGGAAGAAAAAGAAAATGGTCTATTTGAGACATCTCTATCTGCATTATGATGGGTTTGTTTATTGGATTATTTAACCCTTTTTTTGGGTACTCATTTCTTCTTATTATTACTTTTCAGCCTAGTTCTGAAAGAGGTATTTTAAAATCTCCTACTATATTGTATATGTTTTTTGCATTTCTAAAGATTTTTCTTTTATATGACTGTTTTGTGCATATAGATCTATGAATGTTATCTTTTTTGAAAAATATGACTTTTATTTTATGACTTGTGACTTTCATCATCACATTCTCTCTTTATCCTATTTAATGCTTGGACCCTTAAGTTTAACTTACCTGATATCAATATTTCTTCTGCTATTTATTTTGTTCATGATTGTCTAGTATTGCTTTGTCCTCCCCTTTGTTTTTAGCCCTTTAAAAAAATTCAGCTATTGAAAATGATTTTCTTATAAACAATACATAGCTCAGACTTAAAAAAAATTTTTTAAATACTATTTTACTAGTAATACTAAAAATTTTTTTAATATGCAAATTTTTTTAAAATACTAAATTAACAGTACCAGTCTTTAAATAGGAAAATTTAACCTGGTCACATTCAGTGTTACAATTGATATATTCCCCCACCCATTTTAATTAATATTTACAATTTAATTCTTTGTGCCCTTACTTCTTATTTTTATAAATTTGATCCAGTTACTTTTCATTCTTTAATTTCCCTTGTTAATTTGGTAGTTCTCCCGAATGTTTCCATTCTATCATTGGTGTATTTCCTTTTTGTCAGCCTATCGATCAAGCACATATTTATTTATTGGATTGACCCCAAATTTTGAACTATGTAAAACTTCAAGGCCTTTGGTCAATTCATAAGTGAATGATGTGCCTCAGTAGACAGTATTTTCCTTCCTAATCTTAAGGTTTCGGGAGCTTCAGCTAGTAAGAGGAAAAAATAGGCACACTTTGATGGTAAAATTTGTGACGTTAAGAGCAGGAAAACACAAATGAGAGATGGTGCCCCTCACTGGGTAGCCACACAGGGCTCACAAGGAAAGCCACAGAGGTTCAAAAAATGGGATTAAGAGTCATCTGCTACAAATGCAGTAGAGGGTCAGCACATGGACCAATAGCTTGATTTTACATAACCACCCTCTCCCCACCCTGGGTCTTCCAGGGTGTGCCTTAGGAGAAAACATGGGATTAAGTGTGGCCAGGTGGTCAGAGGAAGGCTGACAAGTATGAGACTGAGCAATATAAACTGGTCAATCCTTCTCTCGTGGGAAACCTAAAGATCAGTAGTAAGAAGAACAACGAGCATTTTATACGAAGGTGGAATAGCAATTAAATCTGTTCCTGAGTCCTCGTTTTTTTAAAGTTAAACATAATAGCAGTGAACTCACAATTGTAATCCTAAAAACTGCATCAGTATCCATGAAAATATTAGTAGATTGTTAATTAGGGAATCTAGTTCTCATCTATTTATAAGCAGTGCTATGCTTCCCTCCAAGTCTCTGAAACTAGCTCCCCCAAACCTCTGTGACTTTGAACTTCTGCTTCTCAAGACCATCACTTTCTTCCAATGGACAGGATATAAAGTGGGTCTGAGTGGAGGCTGCGACCCCATAGATCCCACCTCTCTGCTTGTTTCCTCCCCATTCTACTCCTCCTTCCTATTATGGTTTTTTTAATGAACCCCGGAAAGCCCACCTCACATGCTTTTCCCCAACATATTTAGAATTCATATCTTTGCTCAAAATTTTGTTCCAGATTCATCTTTTCCAAGAAAATTCTATGAATAATCTTAGCCCACTTTGTAATTTTGGCTTTGTCTCCCCCTTCCCAACTTTAAATATATGTATATTTAATACAAATATATAAATATATTTATATTTAAATATAAAAGATATAAATATATATATTGTTTTCCCTCCTTCCATCTATATAGTAAGCTCTTTAAGGTCATAAAACATGTCTTTTGCTTGCTTTGCTCTTTCTTTACTCTAGAATAGTTATATGTAGGTCTTAGATACTTTAAAAAAGTTTGTTTAACTGATGTTTGCACTGAAAGTGTAGAAATATGCAAATATAAAAATGGAATGAAGAATCTTTAAGACACCAGTAGAATAGCATTGCAAATTATTTTAGGAAGAGCTATTGAAATATCAATAGATAAGGAAAACTATTTTTGGAACTATAAAGAATCAGTGAAGCAGAATTTTAGCACTAAATGACATTATTGGAAATGATGAAAAAACCAACAACACAATAAAAATGGGTGAAAGACATAAACACATTCACAGAGACAGAAATACAAAGCCTCTTAAGCACCTGAAGAGATGGTCAACCTCACTCATGGTAAGATAAATCTATATTAAACTGTTTAATAGGAACTTCTAATTCTGGCTAAGACAGAGTAAGAGGGATCATATTTAATCTTTTACTTTAAAAATGGAGAAAACTAGACAAAATATATGAGGCAATAGTTTTCAGATATTGGACAACAAGCAACCCAAATCTCTGATTCCTGAGAAAAAGGAAAAAAACAAGAAAGAAGAAAACATTAAGAAAGACTTATAATTGCTCCGGCTTCCTGTGCCCGGAGACAATTTCCAGGCTTCAGTGCAGAAAGAGGGATCCCAACAGACCTGGGCTATCTGATTGAGAAGAGAAAGATTAGAGTTCAGGGAGGACAAAGGCTAGAAATAAATTCTGGGGCAGACATTGGAAAGGAGGGACTGGCTCCAAGAAAGGGCTCTGGAGATCTGTGGGGAGGTCTCTAGAGTCCTTCACTGATTACTAATCTACACATGCATGAGAGGAAACTACCTGTGACTGGGTTAAAAACCAATGGACATTAGTAGGCAAACAAAGTCCAGGATCTCATGTAAGGCTGAGAATGGTTTGTGTTTACAGCAGCCAGATGGAAAGACCTAACACTTGGCATTGAGTAGAATCTTCAGAAGTAGGGTTAAATTGGTCCTACACTAAAGTCTGATCTGGACTTGTCCCACCAAAGTTTCAAAGCAAGCCTTGCAGTAATCCAACTGATTTCAAACTACTTAATCATGCATAAAAATAAAACACATTATTTAAAGGAACATCAGAAATCCAGAAACATATCACAATGTCAAAAAAAGCAAAAACCAGGCATGAAAAAATGCAGACAATACAATCCATAACTAGGAAAAAAAAATCAATCAATACAGAAAGAAATGATGGAACTAGTAGACAAGGATGTTAAAACAGCTGTTTAAATATGCTTCACATGTTTAAGAAAACCTAAACAGTATGAGATAGGAAATGCAAGACAAAAAAACAAGTAAATCGTACTTGTATAAAGTACATTTTATGGTTTTTAAATAAATTAAAATTTATTACAATGAAAAATGTACTTGAGTCTAAATAGTAAATTAGTAAATATAGAGTAAATGACCAATGGACTTGAAGACATAGCAATAAAAACTACCTGAAATGAAGCACACAGAGAAAAAAAGATGAAAAAAATAACTGTGCAGCAGTAAACTATAGGGCACTATTAAATGGTCTAATAGATATTTAATTGAAGTCTTATAAAAGGAAGTGGGGATAGAAATATTATTTAAAGAAACACCGATCAAGAACTTTTCAAATTTGATGAAAACTCAAACCTATAAATCCAAGAAGCTCACTGAATCCAGCAGATTAAACACGCAGAAAACCAGGACAAAGCACACCACAATCAAGTTGTTGAAAACCACAGCAAAGAAAACTTAAAAGCAAACAGAGAATACAGATCCATTATGCACAAAGGAACAAAGATAGGAATGATGGAAGAATTGTTATCAGATGCTATGCAAGAGAGACATTTTTAAGTACTAAAAGAAAAAAATCTGTCAACTAGAATTCTTTAGTCAAAATGAAAAGTAAAAATAAAGACATTCAGACATACAAAAGCTGAAAGAATTCATCATCAGCATATCTGTACTTCAAGAAATATTTTTAAAAATTCATCAGCGAGAAGGAAAATAATACCAGAGGGAAATTTGGATCTATATAAAGGAATGATGAGCACTAAAAATGGAAAAATATATGGGTAATATAACAGGCATATTTTTCTTTTAAAACCTCTTTAAAAGCTAATTATCTATTTAAAGCAAAAATATCAACAATGTTTGCAGATGTTATAGCATATATAGTAGTAGAAAGCATGACAAAAATAACACAAAGGACAGGAGGGAGGAAATGGAAGTATACTGTTGTAACACACGTACACCTATACCTATAAAGGGTATAATATTATTTAAAAGCAGACCATGACAAGTTAAAGATGTAAATTGCAAACCCTAAGGCTACCACTGAAATAATGAAACAAAGAGATACAGTTAA